AGCAAAGTTCTGAGGTAAAAAACTTAAAAAACGTAGACACAAATCGAATACTTTATATTTGTAATCTAAAAAATTATAAACCCTACTGGATTTTCCAGCGAATTCGTAATTACGGAATAAAAAAAACAGTGTTACTAGCATTTATATATGTATTACACCAGATGGCAAGTGCGAATAAAACGCCTTTGACTAAACTATCGTACAACGGTTATGCGATAGTCGATTGTTTCGCAGTCAACTATTTAGTTGCACAACTAAAAATCGAGTAGTGTGTGCCCCCATATAAACTCATAAGAATCAAAGCAAGACTTAACAGTTGTGCGATACTTTAGTTTCTTGTGAATTGTATGTATATTCCTGTCTTATTCAATAACCATAGTGGTTTATTGTTCACAAGATTTTGGCTCAAAAGGTAATATCGTTAGTTGATTGAAACCAAAGTGATTATTGGTCCGGGGTCCAATTTGTAGATGAAAGCTGAGGGTCTCGCGAGTTGTTCGCAACTCAAAGGGTCACGGACTTTGGGAATATTGTTATCTGTTAGTTTGTTACGAATTTGTATGTACATATTTTTTTCCTTTTACGTAGAGTTAAGGACGTTTATTTCCTATCCATTTTAACCGAAGAGATTTAAAATTTGGTTCTCAATTTGCCTGTATTTATGTTTTATATTTACGTTATGATTATTTAATGCTCACAATATAATTATATCTAAAAAAATATATTATTTATACGCTTCAATCTATACTATTATAATAAAGCGTAAACACACACTTCTTTGTTGCCTAAGATATCAGCAATTACAGCATATTTTTGAATAATTGTTTTTTTTTTTAAAAAAAGCCGTACACTTACGCCACGCTTTAGGCTATATATTTTCACGCTATTAAACTTAGGAGGGTACAACAAATATTTTGGATAAAAACCCTAAAGTGAGAAAGAGAATAAGTTGCTGCCAACATCAAGAAAGAAAGGTTGCTAAAGTATGTCATGTCATTTTGACATTTGATTTTAATAATCTGACAAAAAACAATAAAATAAAATTTTCATAATTTCATGCGGATGAAGCCGCACAGGGACAGCTAGTTGTACAATACATTATATGAAAAGTAAATTTAAATTCTTGTACTGTCGACTCATTTAGGTTCTATTCATTTTCTTATGTTAAATGTGGAAAAAATCAAGTCTCTACAAATTAATATAGCCAATAGTTAAGTAATTAAATTATATTGAAATGGTGTACACTAATTTAGTTAAAATGCAAAATATGCAAGCAAAAAAGTTTGCATAATATTTTGGGCAGGCGCTTGACACTGATTTTTGGGAATGCACTCAGAAAATTAACGTGAATTTTCACTATCGTAAAATTAATTACGTCATCCTTATTATTATCTTTAAAAACAGTGATCGCAAATACATTTTCTTTCCACTTTTCTGGTTGTTGAGTACCTACATATATAATATTTTTAAGCAAGATTTTGAAGCCTTTCCGATTTAGTATTCTTCTATACTAAATTGATAAGGGTCGGACTGGGGACGGATTTATAATATAATATGTTGAAGGGTAGAGTATATTTAATTAAATCTATAAGACAATACGTTATCACTGAATAACATAGGCTGTACTATTTACTTTTATTTTTAATTTTACATAGATATAGTCTCGAGCAAAACCTAGTATGTTATAACCATAATTGTATTTTTTAGCTTATACATAACAAGAAAAAAGGTACTTATTGTCCACAATAGAAATGTAAGAGTACATACTTTGCGGACTTCGTAAAGATAAGAGCAGTATGATGTCATAGTTTAATAAATAAAAAAGTTACAAAAAGAACTTGTCTTTAATTTTATAACGTCTATTTATTCTAGAAAGAAAAATATGAAGATACTTCAATGTAAATAAAGCTGTGTTTACACTGCGACTACGGACAGGCCTCGGTCTGTTTGCGGCTCTCAAACTGTGGATATGAATATTTGGCTACTTGAAAAGTCGGTTCACATTTTATACGAGCGTATCTCATATACACGTGAGATTGTAAGTGGCAATATAATAAATTAAATAAAGGTTTCCGCTACTGTACGGATGTCAGGCAGACTTGCGTGCATGCCAATGGCACGTACCAGCTACATGTTGAAACATTAACTGGCATGCATTAAGCTAGCACGACAAATAATTTTATGATATC